ATTAATTTCATTCTTTTCTCATAATGTGATATTCTGTGTGTGTGGGGGGGTACTCAGGGTTTTTGTACTGAGCTACCACCTTTGCCCTTAAGAAGAAAAAAATTTTTTTTACATAGGACCTCACTAAGTTGCCCAGGGTAGGCTTAAACTTGCAATATTCCCGTGTTAGCCGCTCAGAATGCTAGGATTACAGGTGTGTCCCACTGTGCCCACCTAGTCATTCATTCCTGAATTCACACTGATGTCACAAACATCCGGGGTCATATGTTACAATTTCTGTAAGGCTAAAAGGACAAAATTTCACCTTTACCTTTAAAGAACTAAACATTTAATATGGGGGTCGTAATGTGGCAGACATATATTCAACTTTAATATGATAGTCTGTTAGAGCTTCAATCTCAAACATTCCCCGAAGGCCCATGTGTCGAAGATTTGGTCACCAGCCTGTGCTATTATCGGGATGTTATGGAAACTTAGGGTAGGGGACCTAGTGAAAGGAAGTTAAATCACTGGGGCTGTGTACTTAGAGGAGATTTGGGGACCAGGCCCCTTCTTTGCTCTCCTTTTTTGCCTCCTGGCTGCCATGAGATGAGCAGTGTCTTCTACCACACACACCTGCCATCATGAACTATCCTTCCAGAGGCCCCAAAGCAAGAGAGCTAATCAACCACAGGTTGAAATCTCTGAGACTGTGAGCCAAAACAAACCTCTCCTCTTTTTAAGTTGATCACCTCTCTCCCTCACCCCTCAAGTCATCAGGAAAACTACTCAAGTCACAATCTGCTTGGTGCATTAATTTTTTTTTGGAAGCTGGTAAAAGGGCTGAGTTCTGGATCAAAACTGGCAATATTCCAAAACAGTGTCTTCTTATGTAGGTGATAAAGGCTCAAAAGTGATAGCTATCACCTCCCACATTACTATTGCAAGTGTGTCAGACATACAAACCAGCTGTGATGTGGGCTGAGAGGAGGGAGGGCCCAGTTGGCTTGGGTGAGTCTGCCCTTAATTGTATTGTTCTCAAACATAAATTCCAGCCAGACACTTGTTAAGAAAAAGCCTTTGTTTCAGAGTCTCAGAGCCAAGAAAGCATTTTATAGTCTAGATTCTAGAAAGTTCTGTAGGTTGCAAGTCTGTACGAATGCAAACCGTATGAGCCTTTTTGTTTCAGTAAAGGATGCTTTGGCGACATAAACCTGTTTGTCTTCATGACAGGCAACTCCTGGTTAGAGTCAAGTTTTATATGATAAAATGTGTTCCATGGGAACATGCCCTTTTTGAACTTCCTGATATACACGCAAGACTGATTTCATGAGTTTCTTGATATTTGCAGTTAACTCCCATGTGCTCTTTACTGGGCTTCTCTTTTGCTTTTCTCCTTCCCTGTGCTGTCAGTGCTACTCACTATGGCATTTTCTTTTAGCTTTATGGATCTCATACTTGCTACTGCTTTCTGATGCTGTCTCTTTGGCACCAAACTAGCCAAGGTACCACTGTGAGTCCAGAATGGATCCACCAGTGAGCTCAGACTTGTCCACACTGCACTGAGAGGTGTGGACATGGCTGCTAGAAATCAGACAAGAGAGCAAGCCGTCTCCTGGGAGAGCTTTACTTTACACCCAGTGGCAAGAGCATAAGCACAGGACAACAGACTCAGCACAAGAGCAAAGCGTTAGTCCCAGGAGGAAAAGGACAATTCTATGAAGAGCCACAACTGGAACTTCTCCCCATCACCCTAAGCTCAGCATGTATCTTATAAATATGTTCAGGGACTAATGTAGCAGAGACTGTCTAGGTGCTCCCCAAACTCATTTCTTTGCTTTCCCTTCCTGACTACTGAGTTCTAGCAAAATCAGTGTGGGCAGAAGTCACCTACACCAGCTCCAGGCCTGTGTGGTATGGGATACAAATGATCCAGTGAAGGCTCCAAGGGGTTAAGGGTGAAGAAGCCCCAGACTGGAAGACCCTACTCCCCGAGTGGCTGGGAGGAACACAGCCCCAGTGCTGCCTATTCTGCCCCCTGCTTTGTGATGTAAGCAAAAAATGAACTTGTGTTTTCTAATATCACTGAACTGCTGAGGTTGTTTGTTATGACATTAACTTTGTCCTGATTGACTCACTAAGTAAAAATGGGAAGATCTGTCTAATCAGAACTCTGCATCTGACCTTGAGAAATATCCAGTACAGCACTGGCCATTTTCTAATGTATAATTTAGGAAGAAGAGAGTTCATTCTTTCCTACTTTGCATTGTACTGCAAAGTTTTCACATTTTAATCCATGATGTCACACTGACTGGTGAGAGTCACGGGAGATGTCTCTCCCCAGCCACTTTTGCTTTACTTTTCTGGAGGCAAACCAAGTTCACAAGTCAGGGGACTCCCGGGCTTATCTACATTTTCCATTTTCCATTTGAAAAACACAGATGAACAGAACTGAGTTATTTCTCTCCAATGTGGCTTATGCAGGAAGCCATAGTTGCCAGCTCTTATAAATCTCAAAGTGTCTTGCACTTGATCAAAGGATGATGAGATCTACAGTTCTTATGATAAAATGGAAAAAATAATGTAGCAGGATGAGAGATTTCTGGCAGGGGCAAGGAAAACCAAAAGGGAAAAAATGCTGAGGGACCTGGGGAGGGAAGATTTCTCAGCATCTGCTTTCCCTTGAAAATCATTTGGGCAAAGCTGGGTGATTATGAGGGAATGTAAATGCTATGTAGATCAGGCCTAGAAGTCGAAGGGGCTGGAGATGCCACGTCTATTTGATGTGTGTCTGCTCACATTTGTTTGTGTGTACACACAGGAGTGGGTGCATACAAGCAGGCACTTCGGGTAATTATCCAGGGTGAAGCAGAGTTTTTCATCAAAATTTAAACTGTACAATTTTACTTTACTTAGCTCACATAAGGGAAATTCCTGGAACATACCTTTTCGATAAAAAAATGAACAGGTTTTCTCCCTTTCCTTCTATCCCATGTAACGTGGCTGCTCTGGTCCACTCACCCCTTGCTCTAGAAGCTCAAGTTCTTGTTATTCTGCAACTAAAACTGCCATATCCTTTGTGTTTCTACACTTGAAGGTCATTTTTTTCGGTCTTTGCATCCCAGAATGTGTTCTAATTAGCCAATCTGATATCAGGCAAGTAACTACTCGCTTGCTGTAACTTGTGTTTCTTTTTTTAGATGACCTACATTGATGTAAAATATGTTTTTTAATCATACCTCCAGAGAAGTGGCAAACAGTACACATTTTGGGTATTTATTGCAGAATGCTGAAGGAATTAATCCATAAATAAATTATTGAACCCTTAATTTATTATTAACTTTATTGTTAGTAAGTTAAAATTTAAAATGTAAAAAATTAATAAATTATCAATCAAAAGAAGAGTTAACCCTAATAAAACACGAATGGCAAGGCACTATTGTACATGCCTTACATTTAATTTAATTCTCAGTACAACTCTGTGGAACAGGAACTACTTTAACTCCATTTTGTAGATGAGGAAATTGAGGCTGGAAGAGATTAAGCATCTAGCTGTCTGTGTGGCTGGTAGGACGACAGAGCTAGGATTTGAACTCAGGAGGCCACGCTCAGAGCCTGGGCTCCGTTAGAGCCAGTGATCTTTCTTCAAAGGGAAGGGAGGTGGAGACCGGTGCAGACTCTGGGGTCACTGAGGCAGAAGAGTCCTAGCTATAGTTCCTCACGGGATGATGCGGCTTCTGAAGTGAGTGGCATATTGGAGCTTTTACTGTGACACTAAGAAGTGCCCTCATTTCTCCAGATCTTGGTTTTCTCTTCAACAAAACAAGGAGATGGAATAGGTAGCCTCTAAGATCATTCTGGTTCCAAGAGAATGTAGCATCTTTAGCATTCCTGCATTAAAACGTTGATCTTCTGGCGTCTCTGGGGAAGAAGCAAGTTGGTTCTTGCTTCCCAGACTTGACACGTCAGAAGATGCGGGACAAGGTGCTGAGTAGACTCCTGCAAAGAACCGGGAACAGGAAATGTGGGTTAGAGTTCCAGGGCACTGCAGCGTGCACCTAAGAAACGTAAAAGAGATAACTTGAACTGTGCGTTTTAAACAGATCACACGATGTCATTCTCACATGAGTTCATAAAGTAGGTAGTGTCCTCTGCACTTAAAAATAATGAAGCTGAAGCTCAGACAAACATCCCAAGTGACTTGCCCAAGACGTCCCAGCCTGTGAGCAAGGCAGATAGGCTTCAAATCCAGCTCGTTCAACCGCAAAGCCCACGCACACTTTCGCAAGCCGCGCCTAAGTACGTTATCTCAAGCAGTCTCTCCACAAGCCTCGGGGGTGGCTCTTGTTCGCGCACACGGATGACACTTACAGTGGGGAGGGGACCTGCTAGGTGGCCTGTGCTGCAGCCCACGCGCAGCCCCGCAACGAACTACACTTCCCGGCAGGACGCGCCGCGCGCACGCGCACTGGGGCCTCCGCCATGGCGACAGTGCTGTCCAGGGCGCTCAAGCTCCCGGGTAAGGAGGCGCAGCCTCGCGACCCCCTGTCCTCGCCG